AGGCAGTTCAAAACACCTTTGAATAATTTGTTACCTCCTGTCCAGCAGGCTTTTTCAAAAAGGGCATAAATAAGCTACCACTTTGTTGGCAAAAATGCATTGATTGCAATATTTTGGTTATAATAAAAATAAAAAATATTTAAAAAGGGCGTTAACATATTTGATGAAATACGGCAATTTTATAGGTAAAGACAATATTTTTGGAGTTTTAACCAATATTGCAAGAAGTAGCTGTAAAAATGTTGAATAAAACGAAAACATAAATGTTTTCTTACGCTCAACGATCCTTTTTGCAGCTATCTTGAATTTCGGGAAATAGAAATGCTTAGTTATGTAGTAAATAACTATACTATTGTATAATTATAATATTATTTGTATGATATTACAGTCTAATAATAATAATACAAATAAATTAATTTAATTTACTTAATCCTTTATGGATTCTGTAAAAAAGCCGGTGTTTTTATGTTAAAATGATAGTATATTGAATTGTTTTAAACTTCAAAAGGTTTTCGAAACCATAATATATCTGTAATTAGATCTTAATATAAGACAGTAGAACTTCAGAAAATAAACAATAATGCTGGCTGTGCTGTCTCAAGATGGTGGTGGACAGCATTGAGGTTAGAGTAGAGTCCGCGTATATTACAGAACTTAACCTCAAACAGCGCAGAAGGCGTGAGGATGTGCACCGCTGTACAACCAAACTTTGTTTTACGGGCTGCCCTCATGAGAAAAATTTGAGAGACGTGAATCGAGTGGAGTTAGTCGAGACAAAGTCAGGCAAATATGTGATGGCACGTTTTCCCGAGTAACTGCCTAAGAAAGAGATACGCCGACCCACTGAACGGAAGGTTAGTAGTAGAGTAAGAGGCACCACTTAACATCAGGTGGGGTAGAGTAATTTGCCTACCTAGCTATAAAAAAACCATTACAAAACTTTAAGTAAAAAAAAGATACTTACAACTTGAAAAACTAATACATTAAAGACATATCGAGCGACGTCCAGTTTCGGGATCATTTAGAGGGCAAGACCAAATTGGCCTCTAAGAAGCTTGGTGTGCTCAATAGATCGAGAATGTACTTCACACCGACCCACCGACTGCAATTTTATAAGGCACAGGTTCGGCCTCACATGGAGTACTGCTCTCATCTTTGGGCTGGGGCACCCCAGTACCAGCTCTACTCCCTTTGGATCGCACCCAGCGCCGAGCGGCTCGATTCGTTGACGACCAGGACCTTTCCGATCAGCTTGATCCTTTGGCTTTGCGTAGGGATGTAGCTTCGCTCTGCATTTTCTATCGCATTTATCACGGGGAGTGTTCTGAGGAATTGTTCGGTTTAATTCCAGCTGCTGCATTTCGCCATCGTACATCGCGACAAAAAATTCATCCCCATCATCTTGATGCGTGGCTATCCACAACTGTGCGTTTCTGTCGAAATTTTTTACCACGTACGACAAAACTGTGGAATATATTGTCGCCAGCAGTGTTTCCGGACCAATACGACCCAAGAACCTTCAAAAAAACAGCGTACTCCTTCCTTAAAGGTCGGCATCGCATTTGTGATACTCCTGGTGTTGCAAGTGTCCATGGGCGACGGTGATCACTTACCATCAGGTGAGCCGTCTGCACGTATGCCCCCTATAACATAAAAAAAAACACAATACCCTCCGACTGTTCATAGATAATCTTTTTTAGAATTCTTCTTATTAACAAAAGTGGATATCGAACACCACCCATGGGATTGATATAAGAGACAGTGGTAGTGTTATCAATGCGAAGCAGGAATTCACACTTCATCAATTTACTGCCAAAAGTTTTAAGTGCAATAAAAGGGCCATAAGTTTTAAATAATTGATGTGATTTTTTCTTTCCTTTTCATTCCACAGCCCTACATATCTCTTATTATCACAATATGCACCCAACCCCTCAAAAAAGAATCTGAGAATATTTTTAATTTGAAAACCAACTTTTTTTAATGCTTTCTGATGTGTCAATGCGGGAGTACCACCATTTAAAATCTGTTTTAAAACTATTTGATATTGGCATGATCTTTTTGTAATCATCATTGAACTTTCCTAAGAATTAAAAAAAAACTTTCTAAAGATTTTCTAAACCTGCTGGTCATGATGATATCAAACGGGCACAAAAGTATTTTACACAATTTGTAGGTTTCATAAACTCCTTTCAATATTAATAATAAATCCTAAGTAAATAACAAGATTTTTTATGGTTTTTATCAACTGGTATTAAAAAATAAGCGTCTCTAAGGCAACTCTAAGGTCAATAGTAGACATATAAAAATGTGGTGTAATAAGTTTTTTAACAGTTCTTAAATCTTCTAATTACAAAAGTTAAATGTATATGAATTTGTTTAGTTCTTTCAAATCGAGTTTTCAAACTGACCTATTATTGCCATTAGGTTTTGGTACTGTAAATTTTTTTGACAAAAATTGGTCATTAGTGGGTTCACAAGGTAGAATTTCCTGATTTTCTACATGGTATTGTATATACCCTTTTATCCAAGACAGTATTCTTGGATCATTGGTAATTTTTTACCACTGATCGAAAAGGTATTTTAGTTGACCACTGTGTGGTTGACTGACCTGCTGCGTTAGTTGCGGCTGTTGAAAGGCTTCTGATGTGCTTTGTAACGAGGTTGTGGTGGGATTCATGTCTGGGTTACTGTGGCCGGCCTCATGAAGTTCTGCTGTGACCCAACACGATTCACTCGACCTTTGTATTGACTGTCGGTCAGGCACTTTTGGTTTTAAAGTTTTGATTGATTCCTTTTGTTTTTTATTTCCTCACCAGACTTCCTAATAGCTTTAGTGACTTTAAGCTTTTCTGAAAAAAATTCACCAAAGATTTGAATATCTTTAAGAGACTCTCTTGTGTTTGAGTCCAAATTACTTATAATTAATTGCCTCCCTAATATGAGACTCCTGATATCGATAATTACAAAGCAGTCTACCGACATCGTTTAAGGTATTTTAATTCTTTATTTTCTTTGTTTTTTATGAGTTTACTAAGGACTGTTCCAACTGCAGTAAGAGCTGGCGCTATTTTGTTTTGTTTGAAAATAATTACTTTGTCCCTTTTCACAGTCATTTCAGCAACAGCGGCTTGTGCTTCCAAATTTAACTGTGGTGCTTCCACATTCTTAAAAAATTCGGGGGGTAATGTTTTTCTTTAGAAGTTCATCTTTGTTTTATTTTGCCAAGCGATTTTTATACTGTTCGCTCACCTTGAAGCAATGTGCTTATTTATTGGTGGGCCATACTTAGTTTCAATGGGTGCCTACTCAATATTTCAAGAATCTCCTCGTCAGTTTCATCGTAATCGTCATCTGTAAAAGTTATGTTTCAAAGAAAACTTAACTTATTGAAAAATAAATAAAATAAGAATAAATTAACTCGGTCTAGGTTTCAGACAGGATAGTTATTTTTATTAAAAATAACATATTAAGTATAATAATAAAGCTTGTATGTATTATAATGTATTACTTGATCCTACTCATTAGTAGATTTAGAAAACAAATAAGACTAGGAAAGCATGCACCTGCATCTGTCAAATGTCGCTTGAAAATTACTTTGAAACTGTACGGTTTGCATAAAAACTTGCACACTTTTTTTAGCACTAAGCTAAGCTACTATTATTTTCTTCATTGGTAGCAACATTTCCAATTTCAACATAGGAGTTATTATCCTCCAGTTCCAGATCTTCTATAATAACAGAAGGCGTTGGGGAAAATGGCGGTGACCCCGGCGTAGGTTGGACGGCGGTGTACTCAAAGCAGTAGAAAAAACGTCAACTTGCTCTAGTCGCTCCTGAAACATTTTTATTTTTCTTTTTATTCGTTCAATTGAAGATTCACGACACCGTTTTGGCATTGTTGTATACCAAATAAATTTCTATACATTTTGCTCAGCGGAGAACGTAAATGACCGCAGGCGCACGAAAACTAGAATCACAGATCACACTAGATGGCGCTGGAGGACGTGTTTTTTTTTTATTTGTTCCTTTCAATGGATTAGCATACTAGGCTTAGAGAGCATTTGATCATATGACTCAAGGCTGCAGGATTGCAAGTACTAAATGTCTTCATTATCATGAAGAGACTATGCAGCGAAATACAATAAATTATTTATTTCTCATTTAGAACTAATTTCGAATTTGGAACTTTTTGGGCGCACAAACATCAAAACGGCCATCATAGCATTTCGCTATAAGATATTTGGAACAAACAGTATCCCTAGCACGAACCATTATCGAATTCGAATAGTTTGCAAACCGAAATGTCAATGTCAAAGTTTGTATGGAAACTTGAACAGCAACGGCACAAAGTACGTAACCAGAACTAAAAATCAGTACAGATTTGACAATGACATTTCGGACTCACAAACGATACGAATTCGATATTGGTTCGTGCTAAGGGTACTGATCATATTAGGTTAATGAGAACATTATTGAAGAAAAAGTAATAAGTTAACTTATCGACATTCTTTAAAGCTATTGACTTCATGTGTGTTTTGACTGCGGTTTGGTTCAAACAAAGTTAATACAGAATTAATATTTTAATTAAGTATATTTTTAAGCATTTCACTGCTAGATTTACAAGATTTTTTTTTTATTACATTTATGACAATACTTGGAAAGTAAAAACTTAGGTGAAACATTAAGTCTTCACTTTATATTGTTAAACAAATAAGTATTAATATGAAACCTGTGATAGATAAGGAACTGTACTTACCTGATAACTGACATTTATAAACAAACTTTGCGAATTGTAATCATAATTCTTTATTGGCTGATTTAGATCCTTATTCTATAATGATTAAATTATATACGGTGGATATTTTTCCTAAAAACTTTGGGATGTTGACACCTAGTCACTCACAGTCGATTTGATGTTGGTTAATTCATATTATTGACCCTTAATATTATTTTGTTCCTACCGTACGTTAAGTGCAAAAATATTAATATCTATACTTACATGAGATAACACTATGACCAATTATTTCCTTCGATAACAACAACTCAGTACATCGTGAGGCATGTCAAATCAAGGGTGTGCGTAACAACTAATATCTAATTGCGTAGAAATTATAAATTAAAAATATTCTGATTCAATTGATTTTTAATAAGTGAAAAATTTTGATATTTCGACAGTAGTTAGTAGAAGATTAGTGGTTAATACAACTTAATGGGATAGCACTACCAAATGCTTTGGTAAGAATTATTTTTTGATCCAAATTGTTTACATATTTATTATAGATAGACACTGGTCAATTTGTCAAAACTTTTTGTTTTTACCACATTTTTCCAATTATCAAATCAAATCAAACTGTTTCTTAAAGTAACCATGGTTAATACCATACAGATTTTTAGGGTTCCGTATTTCTGACAAGGAACCCTTATAGTTTCGTCATGTCTGTCTGTCTGTCCGTCCCTGGTTTTGCTTGGAGGCTGTTGGCACTAGAGAGCTGTAATTTTGTGGCATATGTAAATCAATCACGCCGACAAAATGGTTTTTAGGGTAACTCCCCTACATGTTACCTGGGGATGATTTTGTATTGATCGTCTTCCCCATCGTGTGGGATATCGGTGAATAGATCCTTGAATATCGTATCGTGAATTACTTAGGGGCTCGTAAGACTATTTTTCGATTTACGGATCTGTTTACGAAATATTGTAATTTAAAGTGCTAAATTTATTTGATACTTATATGAGCGTACCATATCTTCCTTTTTTACCCGATTGCGCAATGCAAGAGCGCGACGTGCGACGCGCAGACAGGGTGTTTAACAGTTTATATATGTATGAATGTTCCTTTGTGGCACACTAGAGACCAAAGGCCTTCACCGATTTTGATGATTTTTACGTCAATAGATTCGTCTTAATCATGGGAGTACTACTAAAGATATGATAGTAATCTAAATTCAATATAGGGACAATAAGCGTTATATTGTGAGAAAGAAAAAAAGTGAAGTTGACGAAATATGTCGGGGTATCATTGTCTAGATAATCGAAAATCAGGTTTTGGTTTCTTACACTATTTTGCATTTTATGTTACTGTTAGGTTAGATTATACAGATAGATTATATAGAGATATACTGTTAGGATATACAACTCTTTAAAGTTGTATATTAATTACTTGCGCTTTTAATTTCAATCTTACATTTGCACGGATCTTTGTTACTGTTTCACCCCAAAAATACTGAATGGATTTTAATGAAACTTAACATATAATATAGCCCATATATAATAATAACATATAGGTAGATAATAATTTATGTTGCTATTGATTATTGATTGCTATTGATTTATTTAATATTTAAAGTCCGTTTCCAAAATTCACATTTTGTATTAAAGATATATTTTGTATTATTTTTATTTTTTAAGCATTTAACTGCTAGATGTTTAAATCTAAAGAATTTTTTAATTATTCGCATTCAGCAGACGGGATAAATTTTCTTTAGATATTTTTTTTCTCAAAACAAATACTTTTATCGCTTTTGATATTTAAAGACGATAAACTTTACCTTTTACACTATGTCATTTCGATGATGATTTTGTAAAAGTTAAAACGATGACAAATGTATGGTGGGAGAAGAAATTTTGATGAATTTTAGTTTATTTATTTTTAATTTTAAACACAGATAAAACCTAGGCCGAAATGGTAAAATTGGGGTCCTCGCAATATCTTATCCTATACGGAGTACTTGCAATAAAATTGTGATAAAGTTCATTGTTATTAAATGATGAAATATAAATTATCATAAACGGTTTTGATGATTATTAAAATTTTATGAAAAACTCAGAATTATACTGTTTTCAAAGTTTATTTTTTACGATATTTCTTCATGTTACTAAAGGGTTACTTAACATTATGAGAAATAACTTATTATTCTGTAGTAGGTACATACCTAATTAATAAAGACAGGGAGTCTTCATTAATCAGCTCGCGATAATGTTGATTTTGTAATTTTTAACGATAATTCTGCAAAATTTGAAGCAATTATTATGAAGTTTTATAGGTATATCGCCCTTCCATCTCCATACCCCATCCACGAGGAGCTCGATGGCGCAAGAGGTTAGCGCGTTTGGCTGCGATCGTTGAACTTAAGCAACTATCGCAGTGGTCGGTCATTGGATGGGTGACCAAAAATTACTATCTCGAGCTCCTCCGTGCTTCAGAAGGCACGGCACGGAAGTAATAAACAAACGCGTTTTCGCATCTACAGTATTACTAGCTGTCCCAGCGAACTTCGTACCGCCATAAAAAATAGGGGTTGGTGGTAGAAGAATGAAAATTTAAGGTTGTATGTATTTTTGTATGATGTATCATAAAAAAAAACAAAAATTTTATCCAAAAAAAATTTTAATGGTAGACAACCCTTAACTTAACATTTAGGGGGATATAAAATAGATGTTGTCCGATTCTCAGACCTACTGAATATGCATATAAAATTTCAGGAGAATCGGTCGAGCCGTTTAGTTGAATTACGCACAACGTGACACGAGAATTTTATAAATTAGATATTATACTTGTGAACCGCCCCGGCATTGCACGGAGGAAATTTATTTTAACGAGATAAAATATAGCTGTCACTCGGATATAAAGTAGTTACAAAGATAAAAAAATTAGAAAAATTTCCTCTCGTAGAAGTTGTCAGAGTGGATTTTATTCAGGTAAAGTTTTTGTCTTTAGATTTATAAATCAAGCAGATTAATCAACTATATTGAGATTAATGGTTGAAAATATAATAAATAATATAGCTACCATAAGGTGAATGAATTTCCGAAATCGGTTCAGTAGTTTGAGAGATTATTTGTTACAAACATACGACTCTTGCCTCTTTATAATATTAGTATAGATAGTTAAGATAGTAATATTTAATTGATAAAAAAGATTTAAAAATAAACTACATAAGTAATAGGTTTATTTGATTATACTTTTAAAAGTTACTAAGCATTTTTAGGAAACAGTTATTCGTTATTCGCTAATTTATTTATTCGCTTATTCTGATAATTGAGATATTTGGAAAATAATTGCTATGATTGCACCATTTGCAATACCTTTTAGTCTGGTAGCGACCTGATTGATAAGTGGAAGTACTTTTAATTCGAGCTTTACACTACCAATACAAAAGGTAAATTTGAAAAATCAAAAAACACGACTGCTTAAATATTACTTTAAATAAAAACTAAAAAAAAAACAATTCCAGTAGTCTATGATTCTGTTAAGTAAGACCCATTATTTAAAATAAATTGATCCATTCTTGAATATCTAATGCGTCCCGACTATTAAAGTAGCTTTGTTCCTTACTTAACAGAATTGTAGACTAGTGAACTTGTTTTTATCTTTACAGTTTTTATTTGAAGTAATATTTAAGCAGTCGCGATTTTAGATTTTTTAAATTTACCTTTTTTGATTTAATCTAAGACTGCATGTATTGTCATGTGTGTCAATGGGAAACTAATATGTCGCCGGCACCGGTAGTAGGTTATAAGTTTAATTTAGTATGTTATTAACACTATGAAACCTAGTTTCCAATATATGATTTGAATTGAATTAATTGATAATAGACTAGGGTCGATAATTTGTGGGACCAAAAAAAATTATAGTAGGATGAAACCCATTAGAAAAGGTAGAGAATATAACAAAAATGAAAGGAAAAATAAATTACGGGCGATCTGAGGTCGGGAAGGGGGAGGGGGTGAGTTTTTAAGGGTAAAAAATGGTTAATCTCGATTTTCGGTAAAACTGCAAGTCCTATGAAAAAAAGTTCAATGGCAAAGTTGTAGGTAATAAAAAGATCTACAACTTTTGTATCGACACTTTTTTCACATGACCTCAAAATTTATGTGAAAAATGCGAATAACCGAGTTTTTGGTTTTTGATTTTTATTTTTTGCAAGAAAAACTATTTTTTCACAAAATTTGGTGAAAACTTACCTTTGTATGTCCCAAATATACAGTATTTTTTTTTTATTTAAAATATACATTTTTTCACCTTATTTTGACTTAATATCGAAAAAGCACCCTTATTTTCAATCGAAAATTCTCACGTCAAAATATCTGCTTTTTTAAAAAAGTTGGGGTGTTTTTTGTTTGTTGAAATCTCTACTTTCTGATGGTATAAAAAAATATACACTACTATGGTAAATGTTCTCAGAAACTGCAAATTAATAATGAAAAAAACTCCAATCCGAAAAATTGATTTGAATCATTATGTATAATTTTGAACTATTTATTAAAATTTACACTTTAATTACTCGAAAAACGTAAGATTTCATGTTATATTGATAAACAGAAAAATTACAAATCCATAAAACATGCAAAAATAGTTGTTGTAAGTAGGTATTAAAAATAGGATTTTCGGATTCGAGTTTTTTTCATTATTAATTTGCATTTTCTGGGAACATTTATCATAGTAGTGTATATTTTTTTTATACCATCAGAAAGTAGAGATTTCAACAAACAAAAAACACCCCAACTTTTTTAAAAAAGCAGATATTTTGACGTGAGAATTTGCGATTGAAAATTAGGGTGCTTTTTGGATATTAAGTCAAAATAAGGTGAAAAAATGAATATTTTAAATCAAAAAAATTACTGTATGTTTGGGATATACAAAGGTAAGTTTTTACCAAATTTTGTGAAAAAATATGTTTTTTGCAAAAAATAAAAATCAAAAACCAAAAACTCGGTTATTCGCATTTTTCACATAAATTTTGAGGTTATGTGGAAAAAGGGTCGATACAAAAGTTGTAGATCTTTTTATTACCTACAACTTTGCCATTTAACTTTTTTTCATAGGACTTGCAGTTTTACCGGAAATCGAGATTAACCATTTTTTACCCTTAAAAACTCACCCCCTCCCCCTTCCCGACCTCAGATCGCCCGTAATTTATTTTTCCTTTCATTTTTGTTATATTCTCTACCTTTTCTAATGGGTTTCATCCTACTATATTTTTTTTTCACTTTTCACCATTTTTAAAATTATCGACCCTGGTCTATAATATCAACAAAATAATGTATTTGCATATTTTGTGTCATCACAGCCTAGCATGGAAGTACATTTATTTGTTTGTGAAATGTTGAAACGTAGGTAATTACTTAAAAAAAACTTTCGTATTTAAAATGGCAATTCCAAAAGTTAAGCAACTTTCGCAAGTCAGTCTTTAGATGGGTGACTAGGAAGTTTAGTATAAAAGTTTAGATAGTCTTAACATGAGTTCGACTTTTGTTTTCTTATTTTTTTACTAGCGGCCGCTTACGAATTCGTCCACGTTTAACTTTAGGTTTTTGACAATAGAATTTTTAATTTCAGGATCCTGTCCAATCTAAGTGTGAGCCGACCTGCGCACGCAGGGTTTCGTACCATTATCTATATAACATTAGACACTATATTATAATATCGAGCAAAGAACAGCAATAAGCCACGTCTGTTGTAAGGAAGCTAAAAATATTTTTTAATTTAAATATTTATTTTTAAATTGAATAAAAAATTAAACATACTGTAACTATTTCAAGCGTCACATGTTTCCGTTATTAATATAGAGTAAAAAAGGCAAAAAAGAAAACACGTTTATTGTATGGGAGGACCCCTTAAATGTTTATTTCATTTTGTTTTTACAATTACAACATCTGTGAAAATTTCAACTGTGTAGTTATCATGTTCACAGACAGACAGACAGACGGACAGTGGAGTCTTTGTCATAGGGACCCGTTTTTACCCTTTGGGTACGGAACCCTAAAAACACAACAACGTCAGTCAGATTGTTGCTGAATTTCCGTACTCAGAGACATAAATGAACTTTTATTTTAATTAAAGTTTACTTTTATTTTAATTAGCATATAGTACATTAGAGTAACCTAAGATGTTTTTATAGTAACTGTTTAACTTTGTAATCAACAATTTCATCATTTTTTTCTCTCAGGTTAGGTACCAGTCTTGCTATACATATACCTACTTATATCCCGGTCTTTTCTTAGCGATTCGATTTCATAATCTTACTTTGGAACAAGTGAGTTGTGAAATAAATTAAGAAGATTAATTAAATAATCATAAATAGACGTAAACTGTAAAGATTCCTGTGGGAATTTCAGTGATGTAGGTAGATTGTAGACATACCTAATCAAAACAATAAGTTGGTTGGAAGTAATAATTAGATTTCTTGGAAAGGTTAAACAAAATTATATAGCACACATCTCGCCCCAATCTATTTACTTAATTAAAAATAAACCTTGGGGGTGCTCCCGATGACACAGATTAAAGACAAATGTTGTAGATACTTTATCCTTATAAATACAATATACCTCCCGTCCCACTGTTTAGTTTGAGTTTTTAAAATTGGTCATAACATCGAATGACCTCATATATGAGTCTGTACATTTTTTGGTTTAATTTAAAGCTTAAACGATTATTTCATTTTACCTAACCTAACCCAATATTTCTTTGATTACTAGCCAGGACCTGCGACATTGTCTGCGAAGGTATTGTCTGGAATAATCGATTTTCCATATAAACTTTTAAACTTTGCAGTCCATCAAATATATAATATCCTTCTCTAAGATCCACTTTATCTCTATACCAAAATTCTGTATTGGTAATCATTTCAGCGATTTAGTCGTGAAAGCGTTACAGACAGACATTAACTTGTAAAATAAAAAGTAGTGGAAAATTTTAACTAGAAAAAATCCACCACCACCATCACCACCATGGGGTACCAATACCCCAAGTATGATCTTGACAGATCTATATTCGTATCGCCAACGTCAAAGTTTTTAAGGAAACTAAGCAACGCCCCTACCGGACGTAAGAACAAACAAGCTTTTTCCATGGAAACTGACATGACGATACAACAACTTTCTCGTGCTTGTGGCACAGGCTGGATTCGAACCAACGCTTTTCACTATCCGGGCGTATTCATTTACCCCCTATACTACCGGTGTTGAATTTCTTCTAATATCTTAATTCTTTGTACCTAACTGCGAGGTAGCGCCACTTCTGCACGTTGCAAGCAACAAAACAAACAGGCAATGAAAAGTCTAACAGTTATAAAAAACAGTAGTAGGTAATGAATTCTACAACCATTTTAACACACACAACAAAGGCGTCCCGCAACAGCCAGCTTATTTTAATTTTCGTAAACATTATATAATTGAAAAATATTAAACATTTCAGTTTGTAAATTTTAAATTGCATTGACTTCGCCTCGTTGTGCTTACGAATTCCAAAAAAAAAATAAGTTATAACAGAAGTCGCGAAAAGATAAGGAAAACATACTATAACTTTAATATTTTATTTTAAGCATTAATTTAACAATTTTTAAATTTCAAGTTAATTGAATTCGATAAAATTAAATTTTGCCCAGAAATCAGACTGGATACTATGACTAGACCAAAATGAACTTATTGTTTTTCAAATAGTTCTCTCTTCAAAAGGTTCATTTACTTTTTCGTTTGTTCCAGAACCTGTTATCGCAATCATGGCTGAATTGCGTAACCGCAGGCGCGCCTCGGGATCGAACGGAGACATAAAACATGAAGAAGAAGAGAAAAAGGGTCGACCAGAATTCCTTTCCCGGGAATCCGTGCTGACTGCCTTACTTGAAAACTCGAAACACATTAGATCAATTTACCACATCTTCGTAGTCATTCTACTAGTGCTGCTCTGTGACACTGTGATCTTCGACCTCGTCGATAGAGGAAAGCAAGTAAAATATTTCATTTATGTTAGTGACAGATTTATTATTGAGGAGCTCAATAGCGCAAGTGGTTAGCGCGTACGGCTGCGATCGTTGAAGTTAAGCAACTTTCGCAGTGGTCTTTCATTGGACGAGTGTCCAAAAATATACTATCTCATGCTCTTCCATGCTTCGAAGTTCAACCGTTGGTCCCGTATGCATCTGCAGTCGTCAACACGCACCAATACGCATGGGGGTCATGGCCCAATAACCCTATTCCATCCAAGAAAAGACTGTTCCCCAGCAGTGGGGAAAATAATAGGCTGATGATGTAATTTATTATTAACAAAGTATTAATACTTATTTATCAACGTCCAACAATTCAATAGAATGTACAACAAAAGGTAACATTTAAAATTTTGGATTCGAATCCAGATCATCAGGTCAAAGATCCAAGGAGTGAAGACAGTTAAAAAATATTTGTAACGTTGTTTAATTTTGAGGAAAACTACCATGCTCATGAAATCTTAATTATAGCAATGAAGGAATCTCTAAATACACATTTCAATGTTATGAATTGATAATGCCGTTATAGGTCGATTGAATTATTGCTATAAAGCGACGAGTATAAACTCATAATATGGAAACATACTAAACTTCCTAAATAATGATCAATGTTTATGACATCTGACTCTAGTAATTATAATTACTCATACTCATGTATTAGTAATTATAATTACTCATACTTATGTATTAGTAATTATAATTACTCGTACCTATGTATTAGTAGTTATAATTACTTATATTTACTGTAATTATTGTGGTTTATAAACCGTGGGTCAATAAAATCGGTCAATTTGTGAATTATAATACAACAATTAACTTTTGTAAAACTTGATGGTTTATTAATTTTCCATATATATTATGACATTGACAACAATAGAAAACAAGTTATTTTTCTTGAATGAAATTCATAAAATCATAAACAACCTTTCAATAAAGAGTCCCGAACATCCTCCAGAGGAACAAAAAAAACTAAATAAATACATTAAAATAACTAAATTTAACACACTAACAAATGTACACAATTATATGTATACAATAATATTCATAAAAGTATAAAAAACGAGCATTATTTAGTAGGAACATTCTAGTGGGTATATCTTTTTAACGCTTCTTGTGAGTACAGCAGTGATAGTTTTGACGGTAGCTACTCGACACACCCCATCTCGACCCTCATGCAGTTCTAAAACACGGCCTAATGGCCACCTAATACGTTTGTCTGGGGTCTCTACTAAAACTAAGTCACCTACCTTTAAGCGATGATTTCCCTCCTTACCTTTGAGTACTAGTAAAGCTAGATATTCCTTACGAAAACGCTCTGTCAAGTCTGCTCTTAACTTTTGTAGATACTTCACGCGTACATTTAAGCTCCTACCATCCAACTGGTCTAGATCCGTAGTTTCTGTGCACGGTTGTGGTTGTAGAAATAACGCTGGGGTGAGTGGTTGCAACAATTCATCAGCATCATCGACAATATGCGATAATGGTCGTGAATTGACTATGGCCTCACATTCTGTAATTATGGTCTCCAATTCTATAAAAGAGAGAGAGGCCTTTCCTACGACTCGTCGTAACAACTCCTTCACTGTACGCACCATGCGTTCGTACCACCCTCCCCACCACGGTGATCCTGGCGGAATCAATATCCATTTGATAGCAGAGCACCCTGAGTAACAATTTCATTCCAGTCTATCAGTTTAAACAGATTTCTCGCTCTGACGAAATTTGTCCCGTTATCTGAATATATTGTTGTTATTCTACCCCTCCGTGCGATAAACCTTCGAAACGAAAGCAAGAAGTCATTTGTGGACAAAGACGTTACCAAGTCCAAGTGGATCGCTCTATAAACTGCGCATGTGTATAGCACCAACCATACTTTATCACCGTTTCTCAAAAACAATGGGCCAGCTAAGTCAACCCCACTAACTTCAAAAGGTTTACCTGTTTTGGTTCTGTTAGTCGGTAATGGAATAAGCGGTGTCATGCAGGATTTTCCTCTATGCTTTTGACAAATAACGCAATTTCTTGATGTTCTTTTTACCAATAGCCTTATTCCAGTTATCCATAAATTTTGTCTCAAGTTTGCCAAGAGTGTTTGCGTACCAGCGTGAAAAAGTTCTATATGTTTTTGTAATACAAATCTTTGTACTATAGGATGACTACTGGGTAATAAAATCGGGTACCTGTAACAAGACGGAAGCTCTTCTGAAAAGAGTTTCGTCTTTACTCTTATTAATCCATCCGAATCTATGACGGTAGTCAAATTTTTATAATTTTTCTTTTCTTCATAAGTTTCCTTTTGTATAATCTTAAACAATATAACTTCAGCTTTATTTTTTTCTTCTAAATCTAGTTTATTTTGTTTATTCTGTCTTCCTGTAACATTGTTGTAAAAACGCATTATCCAAGTCAGCATTCTCTTTATCATACTATATTTTGAAAAATGTAAAAGGTTATTAGAAAATCTTTCTTTTGTTGATACGAGTAAATCAGTATTATTCATTTTATTCAACTCTTTTTCAGTACTGTCTCGTAATGATAAACTCAGTCCAATTGGCCATTCTTCTTTATTTAATTTGAGCCGCTCCGAAACCGAGGTCCGAAACCTTCCCACCGCAATGTTTTTGTAAAGCGTCTGCGTGGCAACCTCTAGATGGAAGGTCCGCTGGATTTAAAGTTCCTGCGATATGATGCCAATTCTCAACCTTTGTGTAACTGCGTATTTCTCGTACTCTATTTCTAACGAAAACTCCCCGGTCTACTGCATTCTTTATCCAAGCTAGGACCACGTTGGAATCTGTCCAAAAATAACTTTCATGTTCTATACATAAAGCACTTCTTACTTGTACATATAAACGTGTGGCAATGGTAGCCGCAAGTAGTTCTAAGCGAGGAATCGAGATGTCGTTGTCCTTATTAGGCGATAACCTAGACTTCGCCGATAATAACTGTGTAGTTATTTTTCCTCTAAATTCGCTACGGAGAAATATTGCTGCGGCATATGCAATTTTACTCGCATCACAAAAAATATGAATTGACAACTTACATTCATCAATGTTACCTTGTGTAATGCATCTTGGTATGTGCAAGGCATCTAAATACTTAAGTTTCTTCGCCCATAATATAAAGTTATCACTTATCTCACTTGATACATCATCATCCCATCCAACTTTCATTTCATGTAATTTCCTCAAAAGTAACTTAGGTATTAACGTTATCGGTGCGGTGTATCCAATTGGATCAAATATTTTATGTGTAAAAGATAAAATTACTCTCTTTGTAACACGTTCATTAGTGTAATTCAACTGTTTGTTATTAATGAATAGAGTGTCTTCTTTAGTATTCCATAAAATACCCAATGTTGAAAGTGTCGTTTCTTCTTTTGAAGGTCCAATCACCCATTGTCTTAGCTCCATTTTACATAACAACATAAGCTCTTTACTTTGTTCCTGAAATGTGATCGCATCTTCATAAGATAAACAGCTCGTGAGACAGTTGTCAACGTAAAACTTTGTTTTAATTTATTCGCTGTGTGCTTCAAATGATTAGGTATATTAACACTTTCTAGGTGGTAACGTATAGTGGCGTTCAATAAAAAGAGACATATATTGGAAATTCAGAAGAACCGCAAAAATTTTCGAATGTTATGTACAATATCATCAAAGAAAATTGAGGAGGTCATTTCATCCCATAAACCAGACCTACATCTCAAGGTATTGTATGAAACATTTAAAACCAACGTTGAGCAGCTGATGAGAGCCGACGAAGAACTTAAAACTCTAGTCATGGCGGATAATACTTTAGGAGAGGAGGAAGCGGTACAAATTTTAGATATGGAGGAAACATTGAACCGTTGTACTAAATACAAAGTACTGTTAGCCACATGTGAACTGGATTTATTAAAAATTGATAGTCCTGTCACGGTCGCCATTTTATTGTTGTGGTTTATAAACCGTGGGTCAATAAAATCGGTCAATTTGTGAATTATAACACAAAATTAACTTTTGTAAAACTTGATGGTGTATTAATTTTCCATATATATTATGACATTGACAACAATAGAAAACAAGTTATTTTTCTTGAATGAAATTCATAAAATCATAAACAACCTTTCAATAAAGAGTCCCGAACAGTAATAATGAGGATGACTGATATATTAAAAAGATGCGCCTCTTAATTAACTATTATTTCTCATTTTGAAAGTATTGTTTGTCATCTATAGTAGAAACTTTTTGATTCAAAACAACACGAATTTTGAGTCTGAGTTCTTTGTACCAGATTTTGATTTCTTTTACCTAAATAATGTAAGAATAAATATTTTTATTTAAAAAAGTTTGTTTTTATTTTCCGTAACATTACAATTAAAAATTTCTTTGACTTGTATATATGTAACAAGAAATGTATTCAATTAATTTATTTAAATCGCTTCTATTTATTTAAGACAACAAAACCAAGTCTATGAAAAAAAAAGATATTGATTTAGATTTAAAAAATGAAATTTTATGCGTTCCTGACACTCTGAATGTGCTGCTGGTAGTGCAGTCACCCAAAATAACATGGAAATTTTGTATATACTCCTCATGTGACGCCCATATTTTATCCTGACTTCGAATATGAAGTTTGAAATTTGAAATTGAGATTCATGGGCTTAATTAAGTCTTTTACTACTGGATAAATTGTTTGACTCCAAATAAAAAAACCGCAAATAAAGCAAATAAGAGTTAACGTAGTTTTTACTCATTTTGGAAGGCATTTTACCGCTCAAGACTCACAAAATACTCGTTTCTCTAAAATGTATGTACACACACTGAGTGACTCCTCTACTGCTTCCTGTTCTATACCCGATATCCTTATGCAATCGTTTCTTTTGCTTATTAAAAGCAGTAGTCCCTCAACTCCCTCAGCCTTTTACAAAAATCAATTAATTTTATTTATCATTGTGTAAAGTACATAAGAAAACTTTTAAAAATAAAAATGAGGTTTCTAGTTATTTTTCAATGTAAACAAACAGACAATAGTCATTAAATAACAGACTCAATTGTTGTTTATCTTGGTGTCTTGGGTTATTAAACTTCAACCTAATAATGTCTACACTGTTAGGGCACAAGTCTCCTCTATCAAATGTAATAAAGAGATTTGGCCAAGACTGCACGTAGGTCTAGTGAGGATTGGTGGATGAACGACTGCAGATACAGCCAGGACCAACTGCTTAGCGTCAGCTCACACCGAAACACGACGCGACGGTGCACGCTGCACAGAGCGACTTAAAACATAACTTTATTTACAGAAAACATTGCACCACGCGTAATCTGAATTCAAACCATGAAATGTGTATCTTTTCGCGTACTAAATAAAGTTATGTTTTGAGTCGCTCTGTGCAGCATGCAGCGTCGCGTCGCGTTTCGGTGTAAGCTGTCGCTTAACGTACCATCCGAAGCATAGAGGACACAAAAACGCACTGACCATTTCACTGCTCCATCGAGCTTCTCATTTTTGATTATTAAAGTTAAATTTTCATCGGGGCCGCGGTAGCATAATTGGTCAGTGCATTCGCCCGGATAGCGAAGGGTGCGGGTTCAAGTCCCGTCTACTGCCTGGTCCGCGTGGATATTTTTCTAGTTAAGTATATTTTCTTCAGATTTAAACATCAAGCAGTTACATGATTAAAAAATAAAAATTATAACTTAAACTTTCATTACATTGTCACATTATTTTTTATTCATAACATTTTTAATTGTTATGAATAAAAAATTCAGACCTCGTCAACAAGCATCGGTGGTTCAATGGCAGAAACAACGATATTATCGTTGGGTAGGAAGCTCGCCTGCCTTACCGGCGGTCTGGATTCGTATTCCAAACGAAAAAGGACTTATTTTATTTTCCACTTTGGCAAGCAGGAGTAACATGAACTTTGAATAATTTTCTGAATAATACGATCCGAAAAAAAACTAAGGTGTTGTAAAACAGTAAAATTATTACTTGCATCGTGATTTTTTATTATTGTTTATTATTTTAGAATAAACATCGGTTGGTCTGTTGTGGTAAACGGTTTCGGCGATGTCAGGAGAGGAGCCAAACTATGGTTATATGAACTAGCTGTTGCTCTGATGTTTCATCCCTGCTTGTTACTATACGGGGCGGGTGTGAAATTATCAAAAGGATATTCAGGTAGGTCACATAAGTCACATTATCATTAAATTTTTCAAATAAATATATGCATGTAACAGACATAAAAAAATACATACCTATATTTTGCTTACATTGGTAAATAATTGAAGTTATATACTTAATACTGTATCTCATTTCCCACATTTGGTACTGTATCCTTAACACGATCCATTATCGAATTCGAATAGTTTGCGAGTGCGAAATGTCATTGTCAAATGCTTTATAGTTCTCGTTACGTCCGTTTTAGCGCTGCCGTTCTAGATTCCATACAAAATTTGACAATGACATTTCGGACTCGCAAACTATTCGAATTCGATATTGGTTCGTGCTAAAGGTACTGTTTGGGTATTTATTCGGAGATAAAATAGTGACAGATTTGAAGTCCCTCAACTATGTTCCAAGAGTAAATTATACAGGAAATTTAATAGCTAACGCGTTTTATGTTTTCTTCCCTTCCAAATCAATTAATTAATAGTAATATCATAGATGAATGATTGGTCTCGCTTCGCTCGAGCGGGACCAATCATTCATCTATGAGTACCTAATAATAACGTTTTCATACAACCGCCCTGATTAAGTTATATGGGTCGCACACTCCGGTAATATACCTACTCGTGCCAATGTAATGTAATCCCGTAATCTGATAAATATTACCTAGAACCTATAAATTGACAAAATGTACTGATTAGAAGTAGCCGTTTCCTTATTATATCACACAATGTCTAAAATGTAACTACCTACAGAGTGTTATCATAATCTTAGTACTCGCAAGTACGCGAGCACCCAGAGAGTAAGTACGTCATTATCACTACAACCAATCAGAGGTCATTAGTCTATAGTAAAAATATCTCTGTCTTATATTTCCAGGCTTGATAGTTCGGTCAATCATCACTTTCCATAGCATAGGTCACACTCATCGATATAACCCAAATATTTAAGGAATCGCATTTTATCTAAAACTTCGCCAAGAGTTCTCGGCACTTAAGAAAGGACGCAAGCTGTGAGACATTCGAGAAATAGGTATTTGAAAAAAAACTATTCCTGTCATGTATTGGCATATACCGTGCGATAGGGACAACAGTAGTTAACGCTGGAAATTGCGTATAAAAATTGCAAATTTCGAGGTTTGGCTCTTGACGATTTCCTCCTCGAAAATTAAACATACCTAAGTAAAATAAATTTTACTCATAGAATAAAAAGTAGTTATACTATTCCTCTAAGTTTTGCTTTTTTTGTAAATGTTTATTTAATCTCCACACTAGATGTCTTTAGTGGTGATAAAAACTTGTTTATTTTCGGCATTTTTAAAGGGCTTCTAGCTAAAAAAAGAAGACATATGAGCATAGAATGAGCAAAATTATATTTTATGTATGAAAATAAATTCTTTAGTGATACACACCAATAGTTGAGAACATTTGTATGGAAAAAAACATTGCCCGCGTCCCTCTAAAGGATGAAGCCGATGTTACTTTTTCTTCTAAAGAAAATTTATAATTTATATTAATCTACCTGGCTCAGAGGCCTAAGCACGAACTTTAACTGCTCCGTAATCGTATCGTATTGCCAAAGTTTCTTTGAAAACTAAGCAGCGCCCCTACCGGACGTAAGCACAAACTGGCTCCTTTCATACATTTGACGATGACACTACGATTACGGAGCTGATAAAGTTCGTCTTTGTGCCTCTGGTCTTAAACTGGATTCGAACCCGCAGCGCCTTACTCTACTCTACGATCGAAAGCATCAATTTTATGCTACTAATATATTAATGGACGTGTAGAACTAAGTACTTGTAGTATTCCTTACCCCTTGTTTCCACGAAGAAACAAGTCATATACTAAAGAAAAGTTTACTAGAAAAAAAAATCCACGCGGACTCGAACCCGCATCCTTCGCTATCCGGGCGAATGCACTGACCATTATGCTACCACGGCCCTATTAGCCGCGTCGAATTTTTCCTGGCCTTAAGCTGCAAGGCAGCGCCATCTCTTCGCATTGTAGGTACTCGTAGGTTGTTCGAGTCCCGTCCGCTGCCTGGTCCGCGTGGATTTTTTTTTCTAGTAAACTTTTCTTTAGATTTAAACATCTAGCAGTTAAATGCTTACAAAATAAATAAAATCATAAATCATATACTAGTTTTAAACAAAACTTGTAAAATATTTGTTGTGGCTATTTAAACATTCTTTTGTTTACACTGCGTAGGCAACTAATATCTTACAAGTATAGATCCACTTATACGTGACCTATACTTCACGTATTTTGTTTATGCAGCAAGTTTCATGCAAGTATTGTATACTATTTTTTTATAAATGTATGTATAGGTATAAATGTGTGAACAAAAAATTAAGACATTGTAAAAAAATTGTTAAATATATGTATTATACCAAGGTTTATAAATTAACAAGTAAATTTAAATTATGTATAAGGGTAAATTTTAACACGAAGGTGTAAACGAGGGGATAGGCTACAAGGTAGCACCATGCCACTTCTTTTTATTTCACTCAAATGCAATGGCAAATGAGATACCTACTTTTACAATTACCAAACAATTAAAATAAGAAAAAAACATTTTATTGACAAGGTACATTGCTTTTTCTTCTTTCCAATCTCATTTCAAAAGAAATAATGTAGATTGTAGTAAGTACCTAGTTACAGCAAAATATAATAAATTGTTTACATTGCAACTCTGCACTTTTCTAAATAGAACATTTACCTATGATAATGACTGTGAAATACGTATGTTTTAATAATTTACTTTATTAATGTATTTTCTTTTAAGAGACAGAAATAAATTATATCTTGAACTATAAGGACGTTTTATCTTCTCCGCATCCCTTCGAAGAACAAGATAGTTCATGGCGACCCTGCCAACCGGATACTAAGATGAAGAATATATCGCTATCCAACGTGTCAGCATGGAACATCAAGCATTAATAGCAGCCATAATCTTCATTATCGTAGTCTTTACCGCAATTCTTCTCTACGTGCCAATACTCTTCAGAGCAAATCACTAATATGGGCAGCACAAACACAAAAGAAGATGTTGTGATTGCGCAAACCGCCAGCGGCGACGCTCAAGCCACTCAGAAGTCTGCAAGCCGAATTTCAACCACGGATATCCTGTTAGTGGTCATTTTATTATTTGTGATCATCGCTGTCATCTATTTTTGCATCAGGAAGATTTGGGACAATATTGTCAGCAAGCTAAGAAGAGAACTGAACGGTGCAATATTCAGAAACACTGTATCTACAGTCGAGCTCTCCAATTCACCGTCGTCAGCATAAGTCAGGAGGAGGAAGATTCTACCACCTACAATTAACCAGGAGGTGTCCAGGGACGAAGGCAAGGGAAATCCCAGCCCGGAAAATTTTACACCAGTCTGCTGAATGCCTGCCAGGGAGCGAGCCAACACGCGCCGCCATCGTTACAAGCTGCCACAGAATTATCCCATCCCCCTGATGTAGGAAGCTGCGCGCAATGCACGGTTTGAAGTTTTCTTATTCTAAGTTAAGTATTTAAGTTAAATATTTTTATAAAGTTTAATATGTTTTTTTGATTGTTTTTATTAAAGTAATGACTAAAACTTGACTTGTATTTTATCAGATTTAAATGAGTTAAAAAGTAAACTTTTATACTTAAGAGAATATTTAGTTAAACTTGGCCCTGAGAGGCGTTGTAAAGAATTAGGGCTTGCAAAGTTTGAAGAATCGAAAGTTGAGTTCAAAAAATTAGATTATATTTTGCCTCAGATTTATGAATTGATTGAAAAGTCAGAAATAAGCTCCAAAGACGTAGCTCACATTAATAATATTGTTAATAATATTAGATCCACATATGTCAAAATAACGGATTTAATAAGCGTTTCAGATAATTCTTCAAAAATGGCGGAAAAATTCGACTTAAAAACTGCCATTGCTCTTTTGCCCGTCACGACCGGTCAAGAGCACGTTACTAAATCTTTAATTGACTCTATAGATTTATATAGTTCTATGATTACTGAGAGTTCGCATGGCCAATTAATTGATTTTATTATTAAAACAAGTCTTTGCCCTAGCGCTAAACTGCGTTTACCATCAAGTTATACAAAGGTTTCTGATTTGCTTAGTGATATGAATAAACATTTAATTCAAAAAAAGTCAGCAGTTTCCATTCAACACAAATTACAGAACTGCAGACAAGGCAATAGGTCAATTGAGTCTTTTGGTACCGAATTAGAAAAACTTTTTGTAAATTTAACGATAGCACAAGCAGACGAAGATAACACTAAGTTCAATGTGTTACGACCGATTAACGAAAAAATTGCAATAAAACGTTTTTCAGATGGGTTATCAAATCAGAGACTTAGCACTATCATAGCATCTCGCAAGTTCGAATCTTTGCCAGAAGCTATAAGGACTGCTGTTTACTGGTACCAAAAAAGGCAGACAGGTCTAACGAAAGAAAATGGTGATAGATTACAGACAGCTGAATAACCGTATCGTAGATGATAAATTTCCACTTCCGAATATCACCGATATTCTAGATTCCCTTGCAAATAATATATACTTTTCAAAATTAGATCTTTCTCAAAGTTATTATCAATTAGCACTTAATGATAACTCCCGAAAATATACAGCTTTTAGCATAGATAAAATGTATCAGTTATCGTTAGACAATGAGTCACGCAAGTTAACAGCGTTCACATCGGATGCAAAAATGTACCAAATGAAACGTTGTCCGATGGGACTAAAGACTTCACCTAGTGTTTTTCCAGACTTATGACTATAGCCATGTCAGGTTTAAATTACAAATCAGCATTTAAATATTTAGATGACTGTATAGTTATAGGACGAGATATCCAGGATCATAATAAAAATCTAATTAGTGTTCTTGAACGATTTAGAAAAGTTAACTTAAAATTAAACCCTACAAAATGTGATTTTCTTCGTAAAGAGATTGTTTATTTGGGCCATAGAATAACGTCAAACGGTATTTTACCTGACGAAAGCAAAATTGAAGCTATG